AAAACCAATAAACACGTGTCTCGACATAGGGATGTCAGCGCTCAATTATCTGCATACAAAATAGGCACACTTGATATTCATGTGTTACAAAGCATCCTAAATTGGGTTCTTTCTATGGAGATAGATCTTACCTGTTCATTTACAAAAGAAATGCAAACAAATTCCAGTTTTACTCTAACATGTTTCAAATCAGAGTAGGGACTTAACCACATTCACAATTCCTTACCCATTTCGTGAGCATGACCTCACTGAAGTTGACCTCATCTGTTTTTAAGAATACAATCACTGATCTTGGCATGCCAACACCTATAAGGACATAAGAAAAAAAATGTGCTACAAGTACCTTTGAACTTATGGAATACTGCCCACAGCTCTGCAATGTCGGTTGCAAAGGTGATATCTGTGTCAAGGACAATGACTCTCTCCAGGTTGGCAGGAAGAGTCTTGGTCAAGACGAGCTTCATCAGACCATAAATCCCAGAGTAATGTTTGTTGGGGATCCAGGAAACTTCAGACTAAACAGGACAGGGCAGAGAGGGAATTGGAGAAAGGAAAAAAAAAAATCACTACATTAATTTTTTGCTTAAACATTACAAACAGTGACTGGGCCATAAGAAATACTCAATAAAAATGTCTTGAATAAATGAATAATTGTTTTCTTAAAAATCTGTTTATGTATTTACATTTTGGCATGAGAAGTTTTTTTTGTTTTTTTTTTTCCTTTTTGTCTTTTTTCGTGTCCGGCAACGGATCGCAACCNATCCGTTGCCGGACACGGAAAAAGACAAAAAAAAAAATAACAGCTCAAGATTTGGGCTCACCAGTTACTGCTCTCGTGTACCCACGCCAGAGTTAAATACACTTATCGGGCTCATAATTTCCCACCAAGTACTACTCTCACATACCTGAGGCGATGGCCAGAGCTACAACAATAGTTATTAAGAAACTAACTAGACTAGGAAGAATGTCTTACAAAGCCAAACTTCCATACCTGCTTAAAATGATAAACCACAACGTTAATGAAAGCAAAAGACACATGAACATTTTCAAACACTCTCTACTCAATACCCATCCACACTACCTCACAGGCTTTCTCGACAATCAAAGTATCATTTGATAAAAAGAAAACCAATAAACACGTGTCTCGACATAGGGATGTCAGCGCTCAATTATCTGCATACAAAACAGGCGCACTTGATATTCATGTGTTACAAAGCATCCTAAATTGGGTTCTTTCTATGAAGATAGATCTTACCTGTTCATTTACAAAAGAAATGCAAACAAATTCCAGTTTTACTCTAAC